TTTTTTTTTTTCTCTCTCTCTCTCTCTCTCTCTCTCTCTCTCTCTCTCTCTCTCTCTCTCTCAGAACCTTATTACTACTTATTATATTAATTAAATTGTTGAAAAATATATTTATTGTATTAAATTCAAATTAAACTTGCTACATACTTGACAAATTCTTTGTTTCTTGCTTGACCGATTGGGATTCTAGTTTCACTAATGGAGAAGCATCAACACCGTTCGTCTTGCTGTCAGTCGTAGGCTCCTTTTTTATATTTTCCATGTCACATTCCTGTTTTATTGTACCATTTTCTACTCCTTCCTCTTTGATTTCTTGTTTCACAATACCATTCTCTATTTTACTCGGACAATATTCTTTGATAAGAAATTCATAAGTAGATGGGTCAACTGCAAGTATTTTCAGGACATTCTGATCCTTGATCTGTACCATAATTTTTTGTGGACCGGCTCGTAAGCCCATCTTTGTCATATCCGAGACTCGGTGACGGCGTCTGGATGACACCCAGAGCCAGCCACCCTGACCATGCACCCGATACTCCTCACCCTTCTGCTTCCATACCTGATGCTTCAGGCCGAGTGTGTACTTGACGAAATTAAAGAGCCGATTACGCTCCTCTTCATCTTCTTTCTCTTTCTTTTCCTTTTTGTCCTGGCGCTTTTTCTCCTCGCGTTCGAGAGCAGTCACCCGTTGCAGTTTCACATGACCGAGTTGATCATGCCACACGCTCGCAAATACGACAGATTTAATGCATGCTTGTAGGACAATAAGAGTGCGCGCGAAGTCTCGTGGATTCACGCATGATCCCACTGCCGTAGTCCATGGTTTGCGTAGTAATGGCCAATTGATGTGCATAAACGACGCCTGAATATTGCTTTCAAGTTGTAAGATCGTTTGACGTAAGGTACTGACTAACAGAGCACGAGTACCCGTCAGACTGCCCACCCATTTAAATTCTGATGCTTGTGTAAGCGAGAACTTGTGCGATAAGTGACGTTTCTTGTCGCGTTCCTCGTTTCTCTGAGTCTTATTTAGTGCGATAGGATTGGTGCTGTACTGATTGACGTACGACTTAAAGTTATTGTCCATGCCCAATTTGAATAAGTGTGTACCAGATGCGATTTGATGTGCTTTTTGACGCGTTACCCTGGTGTTCCCGTCGCTTTCAGAATCTTTTAAACTCTTGTCTAGCTTCTCTTGCTCTTCCTTCGACAATGGTGCCATGCTTCGTCTTTTTATATCGTCCATATTAAAGGTTCGCGGTTGCAACGAACCAGTCTTCGATCTTGTCACGATAGTATGTTTTTTGCCTGAAAGAAAATATTATTGTAAACATGTACGAAAAAATGAATTGTTTTATACAAAAGCCTAATCTATTCTCCATAAAGTTTTTTAAATATGGAAAAACCGATTTTTTTATCAATAAATTTCACAAAAATATTACAAATTATATTACAAAACTTACCGTCTTTTCCTACTTTTTCCTCTCCTTCTAACGTATCTTCATCAACGTCTTCAGACGATGATGTAGAGGTGCTTGTTTTAATAGTTTTGTCCGTATTTGTCATATTTGATACTTCGGCGTCGACCTCAACAGTTTCGCCGACCACCTCAGGTACTTGTACAGCTGGAGTCGACTCATCACCGGAAATTTTTGTTTCACTCTGTTCCGTTATTACAGCAGTACGTTCATCTAGAGCATCTGTATTCTCGTGCATCTTCCGTATCATTTCCTCTGCCTCTTGCCTCTGCTTTTCCTTTCTCTCTTCCTCCTCTTTCTCTTGTTTCTCTTGTCGTTCTTTTTGTATCTTTTGTATAAGATCTACAAAAAATATTTCAATAGGTAATTATTTTTAAAAATATTGTTTAATATATACAAACTTGGATACATTCAATGTTAATCAAAAGAAATTAAAAAAATGATGTTAATTAAGAAAGATCGATCTTACTGTTTTCTGTTTCTAGATATGATTTTTTGTTTCCTTTAAATTGATTAGTAATAGTCTCTGTAAGCTCCATTTGACGGACTATTTCCTCTTTGTAATCTGATAATTCACGATAAAGTGCTACTTCCAGTTCATTTTGATCTAATGCAAGCATTAGTTCCTCTAATTGCAAAAGTGTACTATAATACCACACCTCACCATCTTCGCTTTCACTAGAAAAAACATCACAATACAAATTTAAATTATTGAAGCATGTCTTTAGCTTATCTTCTGTATTCAAATTTATAATTTATCATTGAAAATGTAATCTCGTAATATTCTACAAATATTTCTTTTACAAGATACAAAGAAATATAATTTAAAATATTTTAAGTATAAATACAAAAAATAATTGAAATTTTACAAAATCTTAATTAGACATGCAGGTACATTAAAATGTGTCTTACACAAAAACTCTTCTTGCAAGAAACCAATATTTTCTGCCATGTCTGTCGAATCCTAAATGCTCTTGTCTACATAACGATCCATTCTTTTCAACATCGGGTATACAATCCGCAACACCGATCACTTTATGAGCTTTACATGTACTACATTGCCAATCCTCAGTAGGAACATCGACCAAAGGTGGTTCTACACATTCTAAATGAAAAACAGCCGGACAAGTCTCACAACACAACAGATCTCCTAGTCGATGGCATACTCTGCAGTGATCATCATAATGCATAGTTCCTGGAAAAATGCACAGATCTTGTCTAGTCCATATTCTCTCTCTCTCTCGATATATCTTAAGCATTTTTTGTCATTACAACATTTTACAAAAATGAAGAAAGAATTAATTTAAATTTAAAATCAATTAAAAAACTTTAAAATATCAATAATTTTGCAAACAAAAAATAAATTTTAAATCATAAATTATGTTATAAAGTATAAAATCACACAAAAATAGTTTTAAATAAATATAAAATAAGAAAGGCTATGAGCCAAAATAGTATTTTTGTAACATATATTCTTAAAATATGTAATTCTAAATAATTTATCTAAAACAAACTTATAAAATTTTTTGGAAATCGTGTAATTTAAGAATCAGACTAAGCCAAAAACAAACTTAATTTTTATAAAATATAGAAATTTGTTCATAAATGATAATTTATCAATTGTAGAAGTATTCAAATAATGTCAAGCTTAATAAATTATATCTTGATAGATACATAAAGCATCAAGTTTGTTTAGCTTCATATCCATTTTGATTATAAGTATCTGTTATTATACAAATAACTGATGTATCAGCAGGGACACAGTAAATTTTTTCCTTGCTGACACTTTGGATATAACCATGCATTCTAAAGATGTACATACAAAAAGCTACAGAATATAATTGTTGTGCATATGTAAAACATATTTTATTATACCTTCATGCAATAGGTCCTCTCTCACAGGATTTGTTATTAAGAATTGATCTGTTAAAAATTGTAAGACCTTGATTCTATCCTCGATGGCAGTAAAAGGATATTCAGTAGTGATTAATGTCTGTAAAATATTCTGATCAAAACCCTTATCGCTCTCCACATATGAACGTAGCACCTCTGGCCAAGTCATGGAGTCCACAAAATACAAGCTAACGTTCACCGAATCTTTTTGGTCTAGTGGACCAAAATGCGTCTGCTGCGAGTCTTCCTCTCGCAATAGTGCCTTGATTAGCATAATGTGAATCTCCGCCAATAAGTTAGTTTGATCTTCGCACATAAGAGCAGCGCAAAAATCTTCGAATCTAAAGGAGGATAGACGTACCAGGGAACGAAAATGCCTGAGTACTTCGTAGATGGAGAGCGACGGCATAACCAGTTCTTTAGGGACCAACAGATCATCTGAAGACTTGGGTAACACTAATGGTGGTAATTCTCTGTTCTGCAGCCACAGCGGCTCTGGACTAGGTGGCCGTTGTTGAGCAAGCAAAGTTTTTCTGGGTGTGCCACTAGTAGTACTATAACTGGATAGTGAAAAATCACTATCACTCGAGGGATCAGGTTCCTCTATGCTCTCAGAAGTGTCCACATCACTCGGCAATGGATCTTCCTCTGGTTCGCTCTTCTCGCTAGACTCATCGCCAAAATCAGATCCATAATGGTATTCAGAGTCATGATAGTCCACGTTGGGATTGTAACCGCGACGCTGATAAGCACCACCTGTGGATCCAGCGTGGCCACCCTTGCGGGAGTGTCGATCACGACCACTACGTGACTTACGCTGATTTCTCGTGTTGCGCTTGCTGCTTTCTTCGCTCTCAACCGACGGTGAGGTCGGACGCGACGCCGTTGGAGTGCTTGGCTGGGAGCCCGGGGTCTCAGCACCGCCACTAAGCACACCGGCTGTCCTGTTCTGTAGATACTTGGGCTTTTTCATCAGGTGATATTGGAACTTCTTCGGACGTTCCATTACCACAGACTTGGGCGGGCGTCCCCGCCTCTTTGAGCCTCTTCCAGTCATTATTGTCGTGCGTCGCCGTGGTATTTTCGATGAGCGTCGTCGTTCTCGCCGGCACTGGTGCCGTGAACCTCGCTTTCGGAACACGATTCCACGCGGGGGGGGGATTGTCGCTGGAGCCTACCTGTCTGTGTTCTGCAACTTCCCTCCTACCGCACACCTCGCTCGCCGCCTCAATACGTCTCTCTCACCTCACCTCTCCTCTCCTCTCCTGATCTTACCTCCTCACTCAGCACGTGGCGCGCGTGCCCGCATGCTTGTAAACAAACACAAGTGACATCGCCGCGGAAAGGAGCTGGTTCCATCCATGATGCCTGATGCACTCTGATCTTTGCGCCATTTCTCACGGCCGACGGTCGGTTCTGCGCGGTCACGTGACCAAACACAATCGCCGCGACGCGAAGCCCCCGCGGCATGCACGTCACCGCACGTCACTCCCGTTCGCGTGCCGTTCCTCGTTCGGCGCGCCGTGCGTAAACGGGGAAAAAAGCACTCGCCAAATTCAAGATAGCGAGATCGCCGACGCGAATTACGCCAGAAGGGGGTCTCTAGCTGCGCGCTGGTTAGTGGTGGTGGTAGTGGTGGTAATGTCGGTGGCGGCAGCGGGCGAATGGAGTCGTCGTCGTCGTCGTTGAATGGCGAAGCGGCACAAGAGAGCGTCGCTGCGATTGGCTCATCGCTCTGCCGCCATGTCGATCGTTTGCCGAACGGCTACGATGAAAAGGATGACCGGGCGACAGTTATGGTACGTACCGCTCGATCACGATGACTCTGGGATCCTTCGGGATATCTTCGATTGTCCGGATGACGAACGTTGTGGGTCACGCGACGTCGGATTATACAAATTTCCTCGATTCAACCGAGACGCTCGCGAGCTCCAATCGCTTCCACCGTACTTCCCGTCCCGTCCACTGGCCCCTGTCAGATCGACGTACAAGATAGGTGGCGGTACAAGCGCGTTCGAAAGAAAAAAATGTAATTCTAACCGCAATCCCACGAATACGGGGCAACGCGGGCTTGCGTACGATGCGTCCACGATGAATTGTTGACGATGGACTAACGATGCCGATTGCAATAGAACAGGCGACACAATCCGTTTCTTCGTATATTAGTCGTGATGTTTCTTGGAGTACACGAGCCCAGAATGGCCGTAGATACGCGATCGTGTGTGAATTCGTTGGTAGAGGACACTACCGATGACGCGAGCCGCCATTTTGTATACGTTTCTCGATCGATAACCTCTTGCGGTCGCGTCTGAACAAAATTGTGTTCTCGTGGAGTTGCACGATATCGAGCTTGATATTCCTGATGACACAAAATCGCATGGTCTTCTCTTTATTTTTTGTTCGCGAAGCCGTTTGTGTGAATTAGCGCAAAGACTAAATTCTCCGATCACTCCTATTGCGCCATCTACAGAGATTCGAGTCTTCAATGGATAAGGAAATTTTGAAATAAGAATATAAGCAACGGGAAAATGAAAATTTTTTTTTAAATCGAGGGGAAATATGATCGAATTGATCGATGCGGATGGAAGAAAAGAATTAACAGCTAAAAAGAAGAAAAAGAGGATGAAAAGAAAGTAAATTTGTGTCACCAAATGGAAAGCATTCAAAGATCGAGAAAGGTTTTTGTTTGAAATTTCCAAAAATTTCTCACCTTAAAATGAGATAGATTTGAACGTTGTGGAAAGAGAAAACGAAGATGCTGAGTGCAAAAAATATACCTAAAAAGAATCATCGGCGGACAATGAGATTGAGGTTATCGATGGAGAACTGCGCGGCGGACGTCGCTCGCTCGCGCGCCATCTGTCGGCCCGCAGCGTAACCATGACGTTACTACGAAGAAACGTGGTCGAGCGTGGCACGAGAGTGCGCGAGTACAAGCGAGCGAGAGACGGGGCGTGGGACGGTAGACTTTTCGACTTGACGCAATTTGACGTGCGTGGATCATTTCGGTTGGAAAATGAGCGGTCATGCGACGATGGCGACGACGTCGACGAGGATGTATCCGGTGCAACCGCTGGTTGTCCTATCCGCGAAGTTTCCACACTCGAGTTCGATGTACAAAATGCGAAATATTCACGAAGACACAGTCGACACCCGGCCTTGTCGCCACGATGCCGCCAACACCACCGCCACCGAAGCCAAGATGCCCGACGACGCCGTTGTCTCGCAGGTTATCCGCCTTCTGCAGGTTTCCGTTTCGTTTCCCTTAGGCCGGATCCCGCGGCTGGTGTACCGCCCGTGGCCGTGCGCGTGGCCGCGGCGGCTGGCGAACGCG